CTTGGAGAAGTGCGATCGTCTGAAACCTTCTCTCAGCTCCTCACAGTCATTCTCCATCCAGCTTTGTTCCATTGCTGGCGAGGAGCTGTGTTCCTTTGGAGGGGGAGAGGCGCTCTGATTTTAGAATTCAGCTTTTCTGCTTTGTTTTTTCCCTATCTTTGTGGTTTTATCTACCTTTGGTCTTTGATGATGGTAAGGTACAGATGGGGTTTTGGTGTGGATGTCCTTTCTGTTTGTTAGTTTTCCTTCTAACAGTCAGGACTGTCAGTTGCAGGTCTGTTGGAGTTTGCTGAAGGTCCACTTCAGACCCTGTTTGCCTGGGTATCAGCAACGGAAGCTGCAGAACAGGAAATATTGCTGAACAGCAAATTTTGCTGCCTGATCGTTCCTCTGGAAGCTTTGTCTCAGAGGGGTACCCGGCCGTGTGAGGTGTCAGTCTGCCCCTACTGGGGGGTGCCTCCCAGTTAGGCTCCTCAGGGGTCAGGGTCCCACTTGAAGAAGTAGTCCATCCGTTCTCAGATCTCAAACTCCATGCTGGGAGAACCACTACTCTCTTCAAAGCTGTCAGACAGAGACATTTAAGTCTTCAGAGGTTTCTGCCGCCTTTTGTTTGGCTATGCCCTGCCCCCAGAGGTGGAGTCTACAGAGGCAGGCAGGCCTCCTTGAGCTGCGGTGGGCTCCACCCAGTTCGAGCTTCCCAGCCACTTTGTTTACCTACTCAAGCCTCAGCAATGGCAAGCGCCCGTCCCCCAGCCTCGCTGCTGCCTTGCAGTTCTATCAGACTGCTGTGCTAGCAATGAGCGAGGGTCTGTGGGCATGGGACCCTCCAAGCCAGGTGCAGGATATAATCTCCTGGTGTGCCATTTGCTAAGACTGTTGGAAAAGCACAGTATTAGGGTGGGAATGACCCGATTTTCCAGATGCCGTCTGTCACAGCTTCCCTTGGCTAGGAAAGGGAATTCCCTGACCCTTTGCACTTCCCAGGTGAGGCGATGCCTCGTCCTGCTTTGGCTCATGCTCAGTGGGCTGCACCCACTGTCCGACAAGCCCCAGTGAGATGAGTCTGGTACCTCAGTTGGAAATGCAGAAATCACCCGTCTTCTGTGTTGCTCACTCGGGGAGCTGTAGACTGGAGCTGTTCCTATTCGGCCATCTTGGAACCTTGTCCTACAAAAGTATTTTTGAGGATACTCTGGTTGTTTGTTGTTCCATAACCATCCCAAAACTTAATGGAGTGAACAACAGCAAAATTATCGCACAAATTCTGTGGGTCAGGAATTTGCATACAGCATAAGAATGGCTTTCTTCTTTTCTACAACGTCTGGTGTTCCATCTGGGAAGACAGATCTGGCAGTCTTCAGCTGGGTGCTGGAATCGTCTGAAGGTTTATTTGTGTACATGTCTGGTGCCTTGTCTAGAATGCCTTGAAAGATGAGCTCAGCGAAGACTGCCAGCCAGAGTGCCTGTACACGGCCTCCCTCTATGTGGCTTGGGCTTCCTTACAGCATGGAGTCTCTTGGCTCTGGGAGCAAACATACTGACCAGTGAACAACACAGAGGCCTTTTTGACCTAGTCTCACAAGTCAGTCACTTTACTTCTATTGTACTCTATTATTGAAGTAGTTTTAGGCCCACACAGATTTCAGCAATATTTTGGAGATAGAGTTGACAAGATTTAGTAATGGACTAAATATGGGGAGTGAAGGAGAGGACTGTCAAAATGCCAATGCTATAGTATAATATGAAAAAAATGCAAGAATACATGTATATAATAATCCCGGTGCATATAGATGAGAATTGAATGGAGTATGCAGTAAAGAAAAATTTTCAGGTGGTGGCAGCATGGTCTTCCATATGACTCAATCGTTTTGGTAACTCTTCTTACCCTTGTAACTACCCACGAAACCTGTGCACTGACAGTCTTTGAAGATCGATGGTCACTGGGCCCAAGCATGACTCAAATAGTGAGTCTACTTTCCAAGTACCACATTCGGAAATCACCCTTGTCATGTGACTTTCTAGCTGGGAGAACCAAGTGCTGTGGGCCCATTAAAGACTGTTCACCCTGTAAACCTATGGGGTTCACCAGGCCCCTGGCATTATGGGGTAAAGGTGGGGAATGGCCTGAGCTCACCTATTTTGGGGTCTAATCTGTCTTCCGTCCTTTCTCTTTAGGCTTTTGATATTATGAGAGTGACACATGGCAGAGAACACAGCCTGATTGAAGATTTGATTCTACTTTTAGAAGAATGCGACGCCAACATCAGGGCATCCTAAGGGAACCCAGTCAGAGGGAAGGATGGCGTGTGTCTTCGTTGAATGCCTTATTGAGGTCACACACTCTATACTTTGTTTGCTGTGTAAACCTCTCCTATTGGAAATTCTCTTCTGTGTTTGTGTGGGTAAATAAAGGCAGACATTGTTTGCAAACCACAAGAATCATTAGTTGTAGTGAAGCACGATTATAATAAATTCAAAACATTTGGTTGAGGATGCCATCTGGTAATTGTCTTATTTGCTTACTCATTGGCGATTTTAATGTTTAAAATACCAACATTCAAGACAGAAAATCCTATTACAAGCATGACAAAATAAGTTATAACTTTCTTTTTGGATACATGTAGGGATAATTAGATAAAAGTCACTATTTTCACATTTGCTTCCCAGCAAAAATTTCATGTCCATTTTGGCAAGAAGCAGAATTTTGAGATGTCTTTTGCTCTTTGTGATAAATGATGTTTGTGTTTGTTATTTACTTCCAAATGCATCTCCAACACAAAGGAGGAAGCCATTTTAGATATTATTAGAAAAGGATAGGAAGTCTTAATGCCAAAAACCAGTTTTTCGAATGTCTCACAGCTCTTTGTGTAAACCTTCCTCAACAGCATTTTATAACTCCTTGTGTATGTCTTTTTTTTCCTTGAAATTTTGTCTGTAATTACCCAAATGTGTGGTTCAGCATGTGAGCATGTGAGTGTGGTTTGCAGAGCGTAAAGCTCCATTATCCTGCAGCAAGCAAGGTTCTCGCATCCCAGCTCAAATCAGACTTGCTTGCTTTCTTTTCCCTCTTTATTATTTCCTAATTCTTTGGCCTGTTTTTCTGCCTTTCTGCTTTAGACAAATACAGAAAACCTTTTTTTCTCCACTCCTAGACATGTAAATTCTCTTATGGCTCAGTGATCCTGTGAGCAGTGCAGCCCCTCACGCTTAGGTGACACTCTGGTGGTAACTGAAGCCCTTGGATTCCTAGAGCTGAAAGGATTCTTACAGAGCATGCAGTCATCCACACTTTATTTCACACGCAAGGAAACGGGCGGTGGCAGAATCCAGAGTGGCAAAACCCACATTCCTGAGTCCCACTCAGGAGCCCTCCCCATCTTTCCTGGAGGGCACGGTGAGTCCTCTGACCAGGCACTGTTAGAACGGCACATGGATGTCTGGTGGAGCGTGAAGGAACCAACCTTTCTTCTGCAACAGAGAAAACTGATGACTTGAAACTGGAGTCCTCTTAGGCTGAACACATGGTGACCAGTTTGATATAAAACAAAATGCACAATCTCCTGCATGCTGATGAGTTCTAAAGCCTTTCCATAAGCTTGTTTCTGCTTGAGCTGCCATCTATTGTGTGTCAGGGACATCTCTAAAGCACACAGTATCTTTAACAACCACAATAGCATGACAAGGTAGGTATTTTGAAGCCCATTTTATAAAAATGTGGAAGTGGAATCTTGGGTGCACTGGAATCCCTCCTGATTGACTGAGTAGCCTTGAGAAAAAGGGGTTTAATTGCAGCCTTTTCAAGGGGCCATTTCTACCCAGTTCCACATATACATATTGAATGGTTACAGTGTTTTTAGGGAAAGGAGATGCAGAGACTGAATAAGACACATCCCCATCTTCAAAATGGACACTGTCTGGTCTGGTACTTGTATCAGTTAGCTTTTTTTTTTTCTCTCTCATTCGAGGTTTATTATTATTATACTTTAAGTTCTGGGGTATGTGTGCAGAACGTGCAGGTTTGTTACATAGGTATACACATGCCATGGTGGTTTGCTGCACCCATCAACCCGTCATCTACATTAGGTATTTCTCGTAATGCTATTCTTCCCCTAGTCCCCCACCCCCTTGACAGGCCCCGTTGTGTGATGTTCCCTTCCCTGTGTCTGTGTGTTCTCGTTGTTCAACTCCCACTTATGAATGAGAACATGTGGTGTTGAGTTTTGTGTTCCTGTGTTAGTTTGCTGAGAATGACAGTTTCCAGCTTCATCCATATCCCTGCAAAGAACATGAACTCATTCTTTTTTATAGCTGCATAGTATTCCATGGTATGTATGTGCCACATTTTCTTAATCCAGTCTATTATTTATGGACATTTGGATTGGTTCCAAGTCTTTGCTATTGTGAATAGTGCCTCAATAAACATATGTGTGCATGTGTCTTCATAGTAGCATGATTTATAATACTTTGGGTATATGCCCAGTAATGGGATGGTTGGGCCCAATGGTATTTCTGGTTCTAGATCCTTGAGGAATTGCCACACTGTCTTCTACAATGGTTGAACTAATTTACATTCCCACCAACAGTGTAAAAGCATTCCTATTTCTCCACATCCTCTCCAACATCTGTTGTTTCCTGACTTTTTAATGATGGCTATTCTAACTGGTGTGAGATGGTATCTCATCGTGGTTTTGATTTCCATTTCTCTAATGACCAGTGAGGATGAGCAATTTTTCATATGTTTGTTGGCCACATAAATGTCGTCTTTTGAGAAGTGTCTGTTCATAAACTTCACCTACTTTTTGATGGGGTTGTTTGGTTTTTTCTTGTAAATTTAAGTTCTTTGTAGATTCTGGATATTAGCCTTGTGTCAGATGGATAGATTGCAAAAATTTTCTTTCATTCTGTAGGTTGCCTGTTCACTCTGATGATAGCTTCTTTTGCTGTGCTGAAGCTCTGTAGTTTAATTAGATTCCACGTGTCAATTTTGGCTTTTGTTGCCATTGCTTTTGGTGTTTTAGTCATGAAGTCTTTGCCCGTGCTTATGTCCTTAATGGTATTGCCTAGGTTTTCTGCTAGGATTTTTATGATTTTAGGTCTTATGTTTAAGTCTTTAATCCAACTTGTATTAATTTTTGTATAAGGTTTAAGGGAGGGGTCCAGTTTCAGTTTTCTGCATATGGCTAGCCAGTTTTCCCAACACCGTTTATTAAATAGGTATTCCTTTCCCCGTTGCCTGTTTTTGCCAGATTTGTCAAAACAATGGTTATAGATGTGTGGTGTTATTTCTGAGGCCTCTGTTCTGTTCTGTTGGTCTGTATATCTGTTTTGGTACCAGTATCATGCTGTTTTGGTTACTGTAGCCTTATAGTATAGTTTGAAGTCAGGTAGCGTGATGCCTCCAGCTTTGTTCTTTCTGCTTAGGATTGTCTTGGCTGTGTGGGCTATTTAAAGTAGTTTTTTCCAATTCTGTGAAGAAAGTCGATGGTAGCTTGATGGGGATAGCACTGAATCTATAGATTACTTTGGGCAGTATGGCCATTTTCACGATATTGATTCTTCCTATCCATGAGCATGGAATGTTTTTCCATTTGTGTGTGTCCTCTCTTATTTCCTCGAGCAGTGGATTGTAGTTCTCCTTGAAGAGGTCCTTCACATCCCTTGGAAGTTGTATTCCTAGGTATTTTATTCTCTTGTAGCAATTGTGAATGGGAGTTCACTCATGATTTGGCTCTCTGTTTGTGTATAGGAATGCTTGTGATTTTTGCTCATTGATTTTATATCCTGAGACTTTGCTGAAGATGCTTATCAGCTTAAGGAGATTTTGAGCTGAGATGATGGGGTTTTCTAAATATAAAATCATGTCATCTGCAAACAGACAATTTGACTTCCTCTCTTCTTATTTGAATATGCTTTATTTCTCTCTCTTGCCCAATTGCCCTGGCCAGAACTTCCAATACTATGTTGAATAGGAGTGGTCTGAGAGGGCATCCTTGTCTTGTGCCGGTTTTCAAAGGGAATGCTTCAAATTTTTGCCTATTTGAGCTCTGATAAGGGTCAGACTACCTCCTCAAGTGGGCCCCTGACCCCTGTGTATCCTGACTGGGAGACACCTCCCAGTAGGGGCTGACAGACACCTCATACAGGAGAACTCTTGGTGGCATCTGGCAGGTGCCCTTCTGGGATGAACCTTCCAGAGGAAGGAACAGGCAGCAATCTTTGCTATTCTGCAGCCTCCACTGGTGATACCCAGGCAAACAGAGTCTGGGGTGGACCTCCAGCAAACTCCAGCAGACCTGCAGCAGAGGGGCCTGTTAGAAGGAAAACAAGCAAACAGAAAGGAATACCGTCAACATCAACAAAAAGGATGTCCCCTCAGAGACCCCAGCCAAAGGTCACCAACATTAGAGACCAAAGGTAGATAAATCCAAAAAAAAAAAAAAAAAAAGGCTGAAAATTCCAAAAACCAGAACGCCTCTTCTTCTCCAAAGGATCACAACTCCTTGCCAGCAAGGGAACTAAACTGGGTGGAGAATGAGTTTGACAAATTGACAGAAGTAGGCTTCAGAAGGTGGGTAATAACAAACTCCTCCAAGCTAAAGGAGCATGTCTAACCCAATGCAAGGAAGCTACGAACATTGAAAAATGGTTAGATGAATTGCTAACTAGAATAACCAGTTTAGAGGAAAACAAATGATCTGACAGAGCTGAAAAACACACATGAGAACTTCATGAAGCATACACAAGTATCAGTAGCCAAATCGATTAAGCAGAGGAAAGGATATCAGAGATTGAAGATCAACTTAATGAAATAAAGTAAGAAGACAAAATTAGAGAAAAAAGAATGAAAAGAAATGAACAAAGCCTCCAAGAAATATGGGACTATGTGAAAAGACCACATCTGCGTTTGATTGGTGTACCTGAAAGTGACAGGGAGAATGGAACCAAGTCGGACAACACTCTTCAGGATATTATCCAGGACAACTTCCCCAACCTAGCAAGTCAGTTAGCTTTACTGCATAAGAAAAGACGCCAGAACTTAGTGGCTTAAAATAACCTTTTTTTAGGTTATTGTAAGTCAGCAATTTGAACCGGACAGTCCTTCTGGTTTGGCCTAGGCATGCTGGTCTTGGTGGGCTCACTCACCGTATGTGGTTGCTAGAAGGTAGGTCTGCTGGGAAGTGGAGGTGAGTGGACCATGTAGCTCATCAGTTCGCCCAGCCCTGTTCAAGTGGCTGTGCAGTTCTGGGCACTGTAAGTAGGCAAGCCCCAGTGTACAAACACTTTTTCAACTCTGCTTGTATCACATTTGCTAGTATCCCGTGGACCACAGCCAATCTCAAGGCCACCCCAGAACCAAGAACCAAGGGATGGATACAAGCTCTTCAAGAGGAGCTGCAGAGCATCATTGCAAGGGCATGGACACTTGGAGGGGAAGAAACTGGAGCCGTCAGTGCATTCCACCATTTCCACCATTGTTAGCCTTACTTTTTTTT